AACTGTAACTCAACTTCCCACTGAGAGAGAAATACAGCATGAAATAGATTTCTGTTTCAAGTGTTTTATACAGAAAAAAAAGGAGATACTGCAGTCTTCATGTCTCCAGAAGCAGAACTTTTTCCATACAAAAAATAGAACAACAGGTAACAGAAGTCATAGTAATACGTGCAACCATGAAAAGATTGCTGCACAGAAGCAGAAACAGAGTCAACAGACAACACACTCGAAAAATATCTAGGCTTTGAGTATGCATCTGAAATAAAGCATTTCCATCATGTAAGTCTAGATTTTCTTTATGTACTTAGCCTTGATAACATCTGACATGTTACCAAAAGCAAAAAAAACAGTTAAAACAACTCCCTCATCTAACCAGAGTACCTACAAAAGTTGACATGTTCCTCAAATTCCAATCTCAGTCAGATTAACTCTGCCCCAGGAAGCAGCCTGCAGTTTAACTAACAGCTAAATACGAACTGATAACCACAGTGAGAACCAAGAGAGAAATACTCAGAGAAGCAACAGCATGAAAGCAAGAAGCCTTCTCAGACAAAACTGAGATGTTTTTCAAGTTAGGGACACTCAGTTCTGATTCACGAGTGAGGATCTTATCCTCAGAAAAAGCTTTTTATCTGCTTTCAAAGGCACTCCCCATTCCCATCTGCTTAGCTTTTATGGATACTTACGGGCCTGATCGGTGGGATTCATAAACTTCCCACTCTTGGTGGATGATGTAGATCTCCGCCCCATTTTGATCTTTTTTCTTCTGCCTCAAAAAAACGAACTTAAAAAATAGGGAGAGACCTGGAAAAGATTATACAGTTTCAGGTCCTATGCACTGATAACTTAATTATGATTATTTCTCTTCTCTTCATTGCACTAAGGTTGCATCCTCAAATAGCTCAAACACTTGCAAGGTCCTCACACCCAACTCCGAGCTCATGCCACTCTAATTAAATACTACTAATTTAACTAAGTACCTACTTACTACTACTTCACTAAGAAATAATTTTAAACTAATTGATAATTGTCATTATTCACACTAGTACACAAACCAAGAAGCTTTGTGCTTACACTGTGAAGGGGTGCGGGGGGGGGCAGAAACACATATTCTATTTTTCTAAGAGCATATCAGAGTTCAGCTTCTCATTTACTCTCACAAGAGCTCTCCAGTTTTCATCTCTGCCGCAAATGTTTCCCCCCAAATTTCCTCCCTTCCTCAGATTCTAAGCTGTCACTGCTGTCCCTCCCCAGTACCCACTGTATCCATCAGCAGGTGTGCTGCACACATCCATGTCTTCTTCGCCTCCTCAGAGCCCACTTGTGCTCCCTGTCTCCATCAGCATTATTTCAAGCTGTGTTGTGATGACCAAAGAAAGGGTTATTCTGGAAAAGATTATTTCCTGTCTTTTGACATTTCTTCACCTTACAGATGACTATCTAAGCGTTCAAACTACAGACCGGGATGTTTCTTCTCTCTCAGTTTTGCTCTCCCTCTACCTCCACTCCTAATTGCCTGACAAAATACTGGGGTTTTTTTGCAAGACACTATCATTTCTTTAGGTGGGAAGCTCACCACACAGAGGTAGCAGTTACATTTACACCCCGTATTTCCCACATTTCTACCACTTAAAGGGTAAAAGGAAAGAGAACAAACTTCTGAAACCTCGATCCCAAATCTTCTTAGGACTCAAAGCAAAGAGTTTCAATGAAACAAGTTAACATACAAAGGTGGAAAAAAAAATAAAAATCAAGCACTAAATTTATGACTTTTTTGGCCACTGAGGAACGGGGCAGAAAGCCCTCCCTTCTCCTCCCCCGACAGAAGGAGGAAGGGAAGGCGGGAGCGCAAACCACCGCCTTCTCCTCGCTTCCTTTCTCCTCGCAACCCAGCACCGTCCACCGCTCTCACCCCTCCGCCGGGCCGGGCCGGGCTCCCTCCCGCTGCAGCCGCGGCCTCTCAGCCCCGCGCCCGCCTGCGCGGCCCCGCCGCCATCTTGCCCCGGCACCGTGTGGCTGCGCGCGGAACCGGGCTCCGGAAGGGGCCGCCCCAACTCTATGGTTCCGCCGCCCCTCGCTCCCCCTCGGAGGTTCCGACTCTGTGGTTGAACTGGGGCGGGGCCAGGAGGCGGGGCTGGAGAGGGGGCTGGCCTGGACAGGGATAGGGACAGGGAGAAGGACAGGGGCGGGGACAGGGATAGGGGCAGGGATGGGGAAAGGGACAGAGACAGGCTGTGCCCAGCCAGCCCCGCCGAGCCCTGAGAGCAGGGGAAGACAGAGTTCGGGAGGGATACGGGTGAGAGAGCCCTACGCCGGCAAGGCCAGTGCTGGAAATAGACTGGAATAGGCCAGTGCGGGAATAGGGACAGAAAGGAAGGCCTGTGAACGTGGTCGTCGAGGGCACTGTTGTCCCACACTCTCCAGGGGAGATCCACAAAGTGCCCACCACCCCCGCCCTGAAACAAGGCAGAGCCAAAGGGCATGTGAGAAGTCTGTCCATGGGGAATAAACGCAAAGTGCTGCGGGAGCAGGAGGGAGCTGCCCACAGCCTCAGGTCTGTCACATGGGTTTGTTGTAGGGTTTGGCCTCGAGGCAGCGCTGCTGCCCTGTGAACGGGGCTGGCATCCCTCTCTTGGGCTCCTGGGCAAGCCGCCGTTCCACGGCACTACTGGGAAAAAATGACTGGATGGCGTTCATCTGGGAGCTCAGGCTGTACTAAGGGAACAGGAGAAAGTCTGGTCCCATCAGGGACCACTGGAGCCACTCTGTTACTTGTCTCTTCCTGCAGCTCCCCTGTGGTGAACTGGTGAGGCTGGGGAACACCTTGCAGGAGCTGTTCTGCGTCATTGTCCAAAGTACAACTTCTAGCAAAAGTCCACAGCACACAAAGAACCAGGATAAAGATACACGAAACATCAGGGTGCAAGCAATAAAATATAGGTGCAGGAATAAAGAATTAACATGCCAGGGAGAGGTGTAGGAAGGACAGTTTTCTCTGCACAGGCAGCACCTGGGAACAGAGGTGGTCAGAGCTCTGAGCAGGATTTGTATACTCCCCCGTTCCTGGTGAACATGCCATGCAAGACAATGTTGTTACAGTTTTTCAGATAATGGAGTCTCAGTTGGCAAACTTGGAAGTTTATGAAGGATCATTGCAGGATGGGTAAAAGACTATAAGCTGTGTATCGTAATAATGCCAACATCCATCATACACTGCACAAAATCCAAGTTAGCAGATAGCTAGTCCAGGAGAATCCTCAGAGCAAAGGCTTCAGGAGCTCTCAGTGCCTAGGGAGTCTTGCTAACCATGTACAGAGCAGAGTCATCCCCACCTTGTACCTCTTTGGTCTGTTCTCTTTACATTATTCTTGTTACCAGAAAGAACTTTCTGCAGGGCAGATTTTGCTTGCAACCATACTGTTTTTTCACACAGGTTTGAAAGCAGCTTAGACTGGCTTGGGCTGGTTTAGTTTCTTTTCTTCCTTGAGGCTGTTCTGACTTGGAACACACATATCACAGTTTTAATTCTTAATCCTTTGCCCAGAACAGCAGCCTGAGCAAAGGGAGAATGCTCGAGGGGATTTGATGTAAAGCTGTGGCCATGCACATCCCTGTCATGCACCATGTCACTGGAGAGGGGGACGGCTGAATTTTTGAAGATTAGTTGCACCTTGCAAAGCTTGGGGCTTTCTGTCATGGGAACACTGGGCTCAGTGGGGACAAAGGTGCTGCCTCAGCCGTGACTGCTTTCTCTCAAAAGTGTCTGCTGACTTGGACAGTAGTTCTTTCACATTTTTCACTCGATACTTCTGTCACACCAAGATGCAGCTCCAAGGAGTGTAGAGAAGAAACATCAGTAGATGGGTTATGATACCTTTGGAGCACCAAGTTTAAGGCTGGACAGAGAGTTAGAAAGAGGAGGGATTAATTCTGTGGTGAGGAAGCCTGCTTTCCTTTAAGTCCACTAGGAACAAGGATATGCATAGAGCTGAGTAGAAATTGTATATCTCTGTGTTCCTCATTGTGTATCCCACTTCCCCTGACACTGCTTAGTACTTGCTTTCAAGAAAGTGTGGACAAACTGCCTGAAAAATACAAGAGATTCATTTTTATTTGACTCCACTATTCTTGTACAGCAGTGATTGGGAATCTCACAAAGAGCTGGTGGTTTTTCTTCCTAGTTTAGAACATACATTTGCACATAGAAAGCGGGTACCAGGAACTCCTACCTCTCCAACACTCAAATATCGCTATTCTGCCTATTGACAATCTCTTGCCTCTACACAAGTACCTCTAAACTGAGTGCCTCTTGTGTCAGGAGACAGAAAACGTCACATTGTGGAGAAATGATGCCTCAGGTCACCATGTCATCCGCCACAATACCTCATGCACACAAGGCAGCGCTTTTTACCTCCTCTGAATTGCCTCTCCTGATGCGCATAGCCTAGTGTGCGGCTTGTGCTGGTCTCAGTTTCTCAGTTCCTGGCACCCACCCATGTTCCTGAAGCCTGGACTTTTTCCCCGATGACTGGCAGAGCTGGCAGAGCTGAGTGCTAGCAGTTTCATCGCCATCTAGTGGCTTTTGAGCACAAAAACGAAGAGGAGTCAGAAAAGATGATTAAAGTGAGACCAGTGGGGGAGGGGGAAAAAAAAAGAACCCCATAATGGAAGGGTTGTACAGCCTATTTAGGCTTTTATCCCTTTTGTAATCTCACCCATTTCTTTACTTTCATAGGCATAATCTAGTTATTAATAAATTACTATTGCTAATATTGAATATTAACAAACATGTATGAATTTGGACATGCTCTTAGTTTGGGGGAAGCTGGTACTAAAAAAAGAACCTATACACAATCCAACTAGATCAGTCTATCATGGATATAAAAAAATTATAAAATTTATAAATTGCATCCATAATGAAGATTTTAATATTTTCATTATTTGATTTAAGATTGGGGTTTCAGAACAAAAAAAAAAGTACAGAAAAGAAAGGTCTTACAATATGCACATTTTTATTAAATCTTAAATTACCTTTTTTTTCTAAAATCAAAAGAAAGCAATCCACAGCAAATCAGAGCAAGAAACTAAAAATCATGTTCTTCTTTCCAGCTTTTGTTTTAAAATCCGAAAAATAAGGACATTTGGTAGCATATTGTGAAATACAGAATCTGAGCATACTCTTGGCAGTCTCACATTAGTGGGACTGGGTAAAGCATTCGAAAATAACTTCAGTGCATTAATAGGGCTGCAATCCTACAGGCACTTGTACATTTGTATGATTCCATTTCAATAAACAAAACAGCAGCTTTGCAAAGAAGTTTTTACTTGTGGGTTTGCAGGAGCAGAGCATTACCAAGCATAAGAGGTTATTCACAGCCAGGCACACCTGGAATGTGGCAGCTGGTTTCTCTCAGCTGTGGGGCCAGGTTGTGTGTGTGTGCCTGTAGGCCCAGGCTTCTCTTACCTGCCAATCTACTGGGATTAGAGTTTATTTAAAGATCTCTGGCTGGCTCCTTAGGCAGGGATGGGACAGGAAATAGCAGCTAAATATGCTTCAGCTAGTCCTTTTAAGTAGTTCAGTGAACAGGGAATCCAGTTTATCAGATTTAGCACTAATCCACACTAAGAGTTTAGCAACCACAGCTGTCCTGATGAAGCCTCCAGACGTTGGCATGGATTGCCTTGTTGAAATTGTTTTCTCCCATCATGTTGTATATGATAAATGTATATATATGTATATGTATATAGAAACATAGAGAAAAATCACAACTCCTCACCACCACTGCTCCAGCAATGAGTATTATTGCCACTAGTATGAATTACAGTTCAAGGTTATCTACAATGCATTCCAGAAAATAGTGAAGGAAAGGTACAAAGTATCTGAAACATTGCCTCTCAGAAACACCTATAAGCCAGTTTCCTATTAATATATTTCATTGCCAGTTCCCAAAATTGTCACATCTCTTGCTCTGCTGCCACTAATAAGAAAAAAAAGCCATCAGTAGTTCATTTGCAATAATGAATCAAAAAGGTTACTTCAGGCATAGCTGCTGCAGCCACTGTCACAGGAGAAGAGAGGTCTGACTTCATTCACTGAACTTGTTGTCTCACCAAAGAAGTCACTTCATGTATGGCACGCTGGTACTTTTCTGAGGCTGCTTTAAACTCAGCCAGGTGCTTCTCGTAGCTTCTCACAGCTGTCAGAAGCTCATTCCTCTCCACAGCTCCCAGGATGGCATGGAGGATCATTTCAATGCCAAGGCCAATAATGGTAATGCTAATTCCCCCAAGAACAGATGCCCCAATCTGTGCAAGGAGACTGATGAGCTTGCTCACAGTGAAAGTTAAAAGATTGGAGCCAAGAAGTTTGATAGCTACCATCCCAGCTGTTGAAGTTGCTTCTCCAAGAATAATGGAAAAAACTCTCTGAGCTATTGCAATTTTCTCCAATTCAGGCTCTTTGATGTCATATAGCTTCTGGTACAGCACTGGCTCGAGCTTTTCCTTCATGTCACTATCAATCTTCTGTACCTGATGCTGAATCTCACTCATCACTTGAATGATTATGTCACAGTTTTCCTTGACAGTACTGCTCTCTCTCATCTGAATGTGGGAAATGGTGCAGCCCAGGTGTTCATTCAGCACTCCAACCAGCTCATTTGTTGCACGGAAATTTGTGGACATGCACTCAAGCAATTTCTGATGCAAATGGATCAATTCTTGCTTTCTCTTGGGATTGTCTGGGTAAAGAAGGTCACTCAATGCCATTCTTCAGAAAAAGGCTACTTCAAGAGAGAAAAGAAATCTTTTACTCTGTTCAACACCCATAACTGTAGCAGTGAAATGTGTTTTGTCTCTGCCTCACTGGTTCTTTTTATACTCAGTAGGTCAAATCCCAAGGCATATCTTACAAATCTTAATTCTTGGTTTGGATCTTTAGACAAATAATTGGAAAAGGACCTTTTAAGACACTGGGTATACTCAGAGCAGCAAAAATAGCTAACAAATATGTAATTAGCATAAATTGTAAATAGAACATGGTTCACTGAAAACTGAAGATTGAAACTGAAATTGGAACCTTGGAAACTGAAGATGATAGAAGCTGAACTAGTTCACTAAAAAATGGAACAATCTCATCTAATCAGTAAAATCTAAAATAAGCTGGGGAAATTCAAGGCTTGATTTAGGCACACTTCTCAGCCTATTTTTTCAGTTTAGAGGCATCTGATTTTTCAGCAACTGTGATGACTGGTGGAGTGGACATGGTCTGTATCACCGTAAGGGTGTTTTATGCTGGTGTAGGTTTTTTCGTCTAACATTCAAGAGAAAATGTTACTATATAAGCACTCTTCTACTAATAAACCTACCCTTGGGAATTCATACAGAACAGTAAAATTATCTGTAATAAACCTATCCTAACCTATGTCACCTTACACACATTTCCCACTGTATTTCCTTCCCTGATATTTAGCCTGTTCCCTCATTGTTTATTCACCTGTTGTAATTGATTTCCCATTGTTTTTTCACTCTGAATATCAAACCACTGCAGACAACCCTGTGATGTTCAGCACACTGTGTAAGCACCATGAGGTGCATCTACACCAGGTTGTCTCTGATGGCAGACTGCCTTGGAGCAGCTTGCCTTGCTTGCACAGCCTCACTCCCTCCATTCCCAGGGTGTCCCACGCAGAGCCAATGTCTGCAGATGTTCACCAAGCTCCTAGGACATAACTGAGCAGAATCTGGCCCTCCCTTATCACTGTACAGACCAGAGCACAAAATTTAACTCCCCTTGTGTCTAATCTTTATGGTCACCATTCTTCTCTGAGTTGTTGCTGGTTTGCCAACAAAAGGGCATATTTAATATATATTTCCTCATAACCTGCGTGGCAATACAGAGAGTCCAAAGAGACTGAGTTCCCAGTGATCATGGAGTTACTCCTCATCACTAAGATTCCATAAACAACACAGTGCCACTTCCCTTCGACCCCATCACCAGCTGCAAAGTGAAAATGCTTTAGCATGGTTTTGACTTAAATGCAAAAATCTTAGCAACAGGAGCAAACTGTGAATGAGTAGGATGACTCATTTCTTTGTTGGTACTTTTTATGTTCTCAGCCCTTTATTGCAAATCTGGGCCACTTTTGTGGCAAGTGCTTTGCATTTTTCCAAGATAAACCTCTTCTTGCTGTTGGTGCCTACATATCACAGTTAGAACTACAAATAGTTATATGTAGGGGACTACCTAGATTTTTCTTCTTAAAAAGATGCCTTTGTGCCATATTGGTCCTTTGTAATTCTTGCATTATCTGTTAACTGCAAATCATCTGACACTGACCCAGCTGTATTTTACTAAACACACCCTCCCCCACAAGGTCACAATTGAAAACCAGAATGATTTCAACAGTCCCCTGCCAACTTTTAATCTCAGTATTGAAATATAAACCAGTCTGAAGAGATTTTTTTCCACAATATTTTGCACAGTACTGTGCATTTCTGTCAGCCACTTACCTTGTAGCTCTGTCAAGAGATTAAACTCTTTAACACATCTTTTTCTTCAAGCTGTAGGGAGCAAAGTACATATACTGTAAAGGTTTGTGATTTTCAGGAAACATAAAGCCATGTCAGTGCAAGCTATGATTTCATATCACTCCTGCCTCAGGGATATCACTGACTTGCTCTCTGACTCAGTGTGATATTAGAACCTTTCTACTCCACTAGTGTTTTATTGTAAGGTAATTTGCTTTACTTATTTGTAGAAACTGAGAAGACAAAATGCTTCAGAAGGAATAGCACTTCAGCAAACATTTTACATTCTAGACAGGTGTGGAGGAGACTTTTATGTTCTATTATTTACGTATGATTATTTCAGGTTCTTATAGCTGCTCTAGATTTTATGTCTCTTAATGCTAAGATTACTTCTTAGTCTTCACTTTTGCTAGTTTTTACATTTTCTTTCTAGAGTTAGGCAGGCCACATATATTTCTGACAATTTCTCTGGCTCCAGGGAGATTTTCTGCAGAAACTTTTCTAATTAAACATTTAGAGTGCCTACCTGATTTTGTCTGAATGCTCCTGATGAAATGTGTATGGGACAGTAACTTCAGCCTCTTTCCCCTGTGTTCGTCTGGTGTTTTCCAGCAGCATGTGATGAGTTAGGGATCCGGAGGCTGGGCTTCAGCTCCATCCTGTTGCCTGCCTGCTTGTCATTAATTCTATTGTGTGGTGTTTACCCAGATTCATCTATTTTTCTTCCTCCTTTCCCCTTCCTTCCAATTTTAACAGAATTCAGTTTACTTAAAGCAAGTTCCCAATTGTTAGATCCTCCAGAGACCTTCTGTTCCTGGCGGGAATAGGTACAGCACAAATCCCTCCTAACAGAGGTACCCTCACAAGTACTACAGAAATGGCTGAAAGGGGACGGTGTTACTTTCTGTTCTTAAAACACAAAAGGTGTAGGACAGCACTTTTTGTTCAAATAGGTACAGGATTAAGTTTTTCACTGGGATTTATAAATTTCTATTGTTTAGAAATATAAATATTCATGTTTGCAACTATGTCTTGAAATAATGAGTTTTTACAATGACTGGTTTTTTATATCTGTGAATTATGGAAGAAAAGTTGAACAGTCCCACAAAAACAGAAAAATAGATACCATAGGCAGTGAAAACAGGCTTTGTCTGTCCCAGCAAGACAAGGCTGTACTTCTGTCTTCAACCAAACAAAACATCTTTCATGCTCTGATCCTTAGAAAGGTGGACCTGCAGCCCACAGGAGTCTGGTCAGGAATACTGCTGCCCCTCTAGAGAATAGTTGAGTTCTCAGATGAAAGCAAAAGATCAAGCATATAATGAATACTCTGTGATGCTAACTTGATTTCATCTGAAAGCTGAGCTGCTGTATTCAACCCATATGAATACAGAGTGCCAAACTCTCTTGTCAGAGCTGTAGGCATGAGAAGATGAGCTGAGAGAGAACATTAAATGATTTGACTACTACAATTCTGGAATCGTCAATTAATTGTGACTCCTATTCTTTTAACTGAGGATGCCATGTAGTCCTGAATATCTTCTGATATTGGACTGAATTGAATTGAATTGATCTGGCTGACAACTGCCTCTGTGTCCGATTCTATAGGCTGGAAACCGATTTCATGTCTTCAGTGTTTGCAGTGGATGCAAATTCTTCTCTTCTAGAGCCTCTATCACTTGGAACATGACAGAAAATAATTTGAAAAATATGCAAGCAGTTTTGTTTCTGCTTTACTTCGAGTCTTTAGGGAAAATTATTAGCTATTGTTTCAGACCTATTAAGTTTGAGCGAAAGACTTTATTTGGAGTGTCTGTCACCCTTTTTTACTGCAATTTGCCAGGTCTCTGATGACATGAGAATGGAAGAAGTGGTGCAGAGACCACATCCAGCTCTGAACAGCAGTGGAGGCTAAAATCAATTTTGCTATTTCACAAAATATCAGACTACTTTTGCCATGGGAAAGAAATGCAGGAAAAGGCAGAGGGTTGAACTGAGCTCTGAGAAAAAAGTCTTTGAAAGTATACAGTGGGATGGGAAGTTGCAACTGCTAAGACACATCTATCTGCACATCTAACCACAGCAATATCTGTGCCAGCTGCAACCAGTCTGGGTTTAAAGAAGTCTGGCACAAGCAAAAACAACAGCATGCTATCCCAGGACTGTATCTGCAGTTGGCCTTGGGAGAATTTTTAGGTGCAAGCAGAAGGGCATAACTTCTTAGCAGTCTAAATGGCATCAAGATGGGACCCCAAGCAAGGAGAATGTTTTGTGCTTCCACCTATCAAGGGTTACTTGCATCATCTAGTCGCTGTATGAACTGACTGATAAGGGTCACTTCTCAGAGCACTGTAGCCTGACAAAATATTGAATTATTCAGTCTTCAATTGCTTTGTCTCTTGAATGTAATGTCATGCATTTGATTTTGCTGTGTTTATTCCCTCCTCCCAAGAATATGAGTTTAATTCTGTGTACACCCACCAGTATATACAAACTGAAGGATTATAGTTCTAAGGATGATGTAAAGTAGATTGTTGTCTGGGACTCACACAAATTTACCAATAAACACCAAAACACAAGCATAATTCATCTACAGCACTTCTCTTACTTTAAAGATTGCATGCTGAAGGTCAAAGTCATAATTCCTGCAGCCAGAAGAGTAATGACACTTGCAGCTGTTTACATCACATTTTGCTGGCCTGCTTGGTAAGACTCCTGAAAAGGCTGTCAAAGAGCTTTTTCTGTGTTTTCTTCTAACTAATGTCTTGGAGAAGGATGCGTCAGGTGGGTTGGTAATTTGTACAATTGGTTTCAGAAATGTAGTCAAAAATATATCCACTTTTATTCCCCTGTAGCTCCACTGTATTAACATCATCTGTATTACTTCTGTTTGCTTTTCAGAGTCAGATCCTACTCCAGAAACGTTAACCCACCTTGGCTTTAATAGTAATAAAAAAAGGCTGTTCAGGGTCTGCCAGAATCTGCATGGCAATGTACGTCTATGTCACTTCAACCAACACAATATTCTCACTCTTCAATGTGCAAGTTCGCACTAACTTCCCCATCATGTCAGTGAAAGAGCACTTCAGCATTTAAGAAAAGCTGCAGCTCTTGGTCAATGCTTTGAGAGATATGCAAGTCACCATGGAAACAGATGACAAAGATGTACAGGAAAGCATCGGCCACACTTTGTGGCTAAAATTCCTGGTCCCATCACCTCCCTGCAGGACAAGACTGCTGCAGTAAAGGAACTTTCTGAGATTTACAAGGGGGCACTAGAAAACATCACCAGTGCATCTATTGCAGTGATGTTGAAATATGACAATTTCCCTGAAGCAGTAGAGTCTGCTATTCAAGAGTTACTGAGCTCACCTGTCTTGTCCCTTCAAGTATCAGAACTTCTCATAGACTGTGCCAATATTGTGAAAATGCTGCAACAAAATGAGAACACCAAATACCATAGAAGGCAGCTCCTCCTTGAGCTGAACATCGCAACACCTCAGACTTGGCTCTCTATCCTCCTTTCACTTTGTGTTTTCCTTCAGCCTATCCCTCAAGAGCACAGATCCATAAAAAAAGCCTGAAAACAGCAGCTGACTACTCAGAGGAAGCTTTCAGGGTGCTGAAGCCACCTTGTGAAGGATTCCAAGCCTTTGTTAAAATGGTTGAGGCCTGCATCCCAGTGATCTGCCCTTTAATCTGGTAAAACCTGATGACATCCAAATTCCTTAAGTGTCTACATTTCTAATGCTAATATGTCTCTTGTACCTAAATTCTGTATTCCTTGCTGCAAGATTTCCAAGGAAATGGGAGCACCAAGCTTATATGGAGCTGCTTCAAGAGTCAAGCAGTTCATGTAGGTGTTTTCGGCAGTCCTTACTTTTGACTAACCAGCTGACCAGCAGCTTGTGCAGTCCTGTTCTATTCAGATCTCTTTTGGATAACAGCAATAAGTTGTTGCTTACTGTTTCAGACAGGGAAGTGAATACTGAACTCCAGCTTCCTGCCAAGACCATCAGTGCCTAAAAGCTCGGGTTATTTGTGAAATGTGTCAGTGAGTTTCAGCTCAGTTGATGACTCCACTGCAAAGTTAAACCACCGTGACTGGTCTTCTTAGATCAGTAAGATAACCCCACTGACCATAGCCTCAGCCCAGGGCTAGCATCAGTAGGGTTGAAGGACCAGGGGTGAAGAAGCGAGGCATGCTGGAAAGGGGAATTGCAGGCAAAAAATATTCCTTATCATTTCCACACTGTTATTTTTTGAAGATAGGAGAACTTCACAGCTCTAAGCCTTGAGTGTTTAAGGCTCCAGAAGTGCCAAATGAATGCATAAAAGCGAGAGGAATCTATAGCTAAATCAGAAGTTCCACTTTCAATTTATGGTGTTGATTCAACCTCCAGCATTAGACATTACTCAGAACAGCACAGTAGAAAAGCAGGTAAACAAATCTCAGTCATATTCAACACCCGTGAAGACAGCAGTAAGGCTCCACAGACTATCCTTCATTTCAGCATGAAATGACCAGCATGCATTTATTGGCCACTAGAGAACACAGGACCTGTCTGATTTTTTCAAAAGGAATTTTAAAGTCGAACAAGATGAAGACAAGCCATGTGATTCTCTGCTGGTAAGTTCATGTCTCAGCACAGCTTCATGGTTCTGTCCCCTGTGTGTGAGATGCAGCCAGCCAGCCTGAGATGAAAGCTGTGGTATTGGTGCATGGCATCATGCAGCTGGGAAAAACTGCTGTGACACAGATTTTACTGTCTCCTGGGACCCTGCACTCAAAGGAGATATGCAAGGCTGCACAGTTACCCACTTGACTTTACCACTGTGGTGCCTTTCACAACCCACAGACAGACTCTTTCTCAATAAAAATAAAGGTACTAAATAAAGGGTCCAAAGTCCCTGTGTGTCTTTCCTGAATGCCTAAGGGAAAAGCTACCTACAGTGAAGGGTATCCCAGACTTAGTCTTCAGAAGGGCCATAGATAACCTTCCTCCTACCTGAATGGGTCCAGGGAATGTCTGTTTTGATGAACCAGACTGAATGTTCCAGTCTTAGCTGGAGAGTTGCAGCTGAAAGCAAAGGGAAGTTTGAACCTTCTGTAGAGGCAGGAATTCCAGAGACGAATGCCTGTGAACTCTTCTTGGCTGCTATTCATGGGTATATAGCTGGATGCAGCCAGAGAACCAAAGACTATGGGCCAAGTACATAGAAACTGCAACCACACTAGGAAGAATGGCAGAGGCGAGGGCAGTGGAACCACTGTTCTTACATCTTGAAGCTGAAAGAAAATCAAGACAGAAGTATTTAGGACTCTCTTCACTTCCTAAAGCTTTCTGCATTTGCTAACACAACCTTTGCCCAGAAAAGCCATTTTCTCAACTATATCTACTACTTTGGCTTGGTTCCAGGAACAAACTCTCATTCCTGAGTGATTGTTTCAAGTTCAAAGATTGCATTGACACATTACTCTCCAAAGAGACAAAATCAAGAGTCCAGTATTGGTGGTGGACTTACAGAAAGATGGAGATGTGAAACAGGCCCAATGAGGTCTTCCAGCACAGAGTTATCCCTATAGCCAGGAAACTCAGTGTGTTCCTTGCCAAAGGATACCTTTTCTCCCTTCTGTCTCAGGAGAGAGATCACAGCTAAAGCACCAATAGTTTGTTTACACTAACCTCAGCTTGACAGAGATAAGTAGTAGCTTCACAAAGTGGTAGTGGACTAGAGTAGTCCTGATGCTGGAAGTGCAGCAGCCTTGCAAACCACCAGCATAAATATCTGGGTTCAAACTGCCAGCAAATCTCGCCTGCCTTTGCAATAAGAACACTGGGGACCCAAATGTGTGAGTCCTACAACATCCTTGCAAAGGCACCTGGGACAAATGGAGGCTGCAAAGAACCCTGAGACCTGATGTGTATCAGGTGGCTTCATCTTTAGTGACCTGTGGGGTTCTCCCAGGTTTCACAGCAAATGGGTAAAATCTGGGTCATGTGGCTCTCGTAGGTGAATATAGTGGGCAAGCTACAGATTTGCCCTTGAGTGTGACCCTGTGTAGGTGCAGCTGGTGAGGGCTGCTTGGAGTAGTAGAGACCAGACTGTCCTGTGCCCCCACCACATATGAGAGGCTGTATACAATACCTTCCACCAGCTGGCAGTGGTACTTGCTGTAGTTCCCCACAGAATGAAGATGCAGCCGGTTACCATCCTGTGTCTGAATGAAGCTTTTGACAAGAAATATCTCGTAAGGGGGAATGAGGACTTCCTTCTCAGTTGTGTAGTAAGAAAAGCCTTGCATAGCTGCTCCCAGGCAAGTAGTCACTGTAAACAAAGTTTCATTCCCAAACTTCTGGGCTTCACTCCTGAGGCGGGAGGTGGAAGTGAAACGGCCAAATCGCACCCTGCTACCTACCGTGGCCTCGATATATAAGTCTTTTACACCCCTGTGCACCTGGTAGCACTTACGTTTCCCCATGCTTTCCTTGCTGCTCTGCCATTCCTTCATTATCTGGATAGCAGTTGTTAGGTAAAAGTGAAAATATTTGAAACTGAAGTTGTGTCTGTAGTGCTCTGGAGAGATTCCTGCTGTAGATGTAGCCAAGTTCAGCTGAGAGTGCAGGGAAGAGTTCATGGTGTAAGCCATGAGGACTATGCCATGGCTGTCATGCATCTCCCTCAGAAGACCTACAGGGCTCTTTAACAAAGCCTCCTGAGCCTTCTTCCAGAGGCTCAAATAGTCCTTGTTAGCAGCTATTTCCTTTTGAAAATAGTCACCTTGCTCCAGTTCTTCCATCATTTCCTCTCTGCACCCCAGATACTGGTCATCAAAAGAATTCAGAGCCATATCCATCAGGATGTGGGACATAGCCTGCAACATAAAACCAAATTAAGATTAGCATCAGAAGTATGAACTTCTTGTGTATCTCTATAAATGCAAGCCAAGTTTTTCTCTACCCTTTTCTCGCTGCTTTGTCATTATTGGCAGAGCAAGCAAGGCAACTTAGGCAAAGACCTTTCTGAGTTACCTCATCACCTATACATCACCTCAGTCAAATGCCAGTCAGGATGCCATTTGATGTGGATCAGTCACATTAAAAACTTCAGGAGAGTTGGCTTTTCAGAGGGTGATGGTATAAAGCCTGTAGGACAGACCCGTGGTCCATTTATATCAATATTCTGCCCAGGATTATTAAGTGGTTTTGCAGAGGGAAAGAATAAGCAAATCAATGTGCTAGAGCATTGTAACCTGAACACTCAGAGGTGAATTTCTTCTTCCTGTCCTTTCAAATCTCTTGGACATGTTTTGGCTCCAGGGAATAATGTAAAGGACAATATAGTACCACTGTGACAAAACTTCTGTTCATCCAGTTTGTCTCAGTGAGACCAGCTGGACTTGTCATGTAAATAAACATTAAACATGAGTAAGGATTCACACAAATAGGTGCTATAACAGGAAAACAACCTCTAATATATTCTGTCTATGAAACAACCAGCTAATTATGTGTATCTAGCATTTCTAATTAATAAAAACCTTGTGTAATAAGATCTAAGAAATTGTGTGAGTTATGGTATTGTTCCTTTTGCTTTTTGATCACCTAGTAGACTAGTCAAGTGCTGTAGTCAGTTGATAGTTGAATTCTACAAGTAGCTAGATATTCACTTTAATCTCAAATATTCATCCTAGAAATGTAACCAAACTGACACCTTTCTTAGCCTCTGAAGTTATACTGGCCCATAAACTATGCAGGGATTCAATTTATTTCTCGTTGAATATCATAATTGTTTTGAGGGAAAGCTAAAAGGCCATCAAAATACACAGAACAATATTTTTACCGTCCCATCTAACAACACGCTGTTTTTGTCAGAGCCTCAGCTGAGACAGGTGGGAGAAGGAGAGGAGACTATGAGGTCTACTCATAAACATACTGTAGGAAACCATCTGGCTCTAAACAAGAGGAAATTTCCAACCAAGTGGTTAAAAGAATTAGGACAGGTAAGAAATGGAACAGAAGAACTGAAAGCAGAAAAGTTAAAAATGAACTAAAAGCTCCTTAAAGAAACTGTTTCAAATGGGAAAAAATTAAAAACTTATTTCAGTGAGGTAAGCAGTTTCACCATTTCAAATAAAGAACATTTACCCTTTTTACCAATATTTGTGAGGAGATCAGCAACAGGAGGCTGCCCAGCTGCACTGGCTTCCTAGAGTCCACCCAAGGCACTGGAAAGAACATTTTGTTCAAGAAGAGGTCATTTACATCTGTTTCTTTCCTTTTTTTCCTGAACTGGAAAATTCTGCAGTTTGTAATTTGCACTCAGGTTTTGGTGAGAGTTCTTCAACCAAAGATCATTCACCAGATTCTTACAGCAATTCAGAAGTCATTAATCATCCAAGCAGACAATTTACTGGTAGAAATGTGCCCACAATCCATAAGGAAAGGTCTGGTTGCACCAACTCCAGCTGATGTGAGTGTCCGTCACCTTAATAGCTCTTTTAATTCCAAGGTATTCAGTGTTCTTGTTCTTGCAAAAAGGAAGAAAATCATGGCTTGGAGAAGTCTAAGGCAGTTGTCCCCTGAAGAGTGATGTGTCAGGATGAGTACTCCCTGGTCAAGAGCTTAAAAAGCCCTTTTAAAGAAGTTGGCTTTCATAAAGCCAACACAGAAATGCAGGGTAGGTCGGGATCCCATCTGGAAGCAGAGATAACCTAACTGTCCTTCTCTTCCTTATCATCCCCTGGTTTCTAATCTTGTGTTACCAATCCTACCCTTACACCACTGCAGTCCACCTTGTTGGACTGTTTACATTGGGTACATGCAAATGCAGATTCTATACTGAGTCAAACCCCTCTCTAGCAGCTGATTTCCAGACCCCTTCCAAATAACAGCAGAGAGTTATTCCCTTTCAAAGCCCCATGGCCTCTGATAACTACTCTTTGTGGAAAAACAGGCAAGAGCTGTCAGGGCCTGGATTCTGATCACAGAGAAGTGAAAATCATTTTCCATGGCCTGCTGGTGATAGGCTGGGTGAGAGGTGCACCTCCAGTCATAGTGTGATTTCCTGAGATGAGATGTTTGTGCAGATGCTTAGATTCTGTGTACAGAGAGCATTTGCCAAATATTGCTGAAATAGGGTGAGAGGCGGCATAAAGGTCTCACACTGGGCTGCTTCCAAAGCAGCTGATGCTGCGGACAGTATCTGTCGCCACTGGGGACATAAAATGATGGCATGAAGAATACAAAGTGATAGGTGAAGACTACCTACTTCTCCTTTTTGGAATTTCTCTGTTATTTTGGGCTGTATTTCAGAAAGTGGTTGTTTGACAGCTAAAAGTCAGTTCACAGAAGGGTTTGTGAATTAACTGAGGCATCTCCTCTTCTGTTTATGCAGAGATAAAACAGAGCTAAACCGAGATGTGTTCCCGTGGGAGCTTGGCAATCATGATAAAAAGCCCTGCTTAGATGTCAATGCAGCTGCATATAATCCAGTTGCAGATTATGTCCCTTCTGATCAGAAGGTTTTCCCTTCTGATCTCTTAGTGTATGTTTAGTGTGAAGGGAATCAGGAAGAAAGGCCACTGAATTTGCATTTTCAAACGCTTCAGAAGAAACGGTGTACTATTAAATACAATAAATACAATGGCCATAAGATGGCAGTAGAAGATTTGTAGCAGAACTTAGACTTGGAGCTGCATTAACCAAGCAAAAATCGAATTCCTCCATTTCAGCAGTAAATTTGTAATGTGATCTGTGCACTTGGATCCCCAAAGGTCATGACTTCAGCCCATGTAGGGATCTGGTGACACAGAGTAGATGACATAATGGAGGCCTCCCAGTACAACTTGCTTGAAAAAAATATTTACTGAAAGGGAGAGAAAAAATATAAAACTAACAGAATGATCCAAACATAGACAGGAAACTTTTTGTGCTAACAAAACCATACAACAACAACAACAAAATCCTTATTTTATTATTACACCAGACATTAGGATTTCACTAATCTCTCTAGTATTTTTCCAAGCAAAAATTTCACTTCTTCCAATAAGCACTCTGTTCATTTTTACTAGATGGTGTTCAGAGGAGAGTTTTGCTGTGAGCAGTGAAGCCCCATCAGCTTATGCCAATAGAGGAACCAGTCACAGGTCACAGGTGTTTGACCAAGACATGCAGAGATATTTATTAAGTGTCTTCTCCTTGGCCAAGATCAGCATAACTGGTACAAGTCATAGCAGCTTGCCAAACAAGATGCTCACACTCCTTCTGGCAGCCATCTCTGTGGACTTATCCTGTGTCCTTACTTCAGGCTTAGGTCTTTCAGGAAAACACTGAACTGGGTAGATGGTGAATCAGGAAAAGCCTGGCCCTCCTTTCCCTCAGCATCACAGAGTGCTGGAACTACAACCTGAATTTCGATACAGTCACTTATGATTCACACTGGGGCACGGGAGGAGAGGAGGAAGACTCATGCACCCGGTTCCTGCTCCTCAGGGTTCACAAAAGCAGGCTGTACCTTCCAGGCACCTCTTTAACCACAGGTAAAGGTTGTACAGAGGAACAGAGAGAAGCAGCACACCAACCTGCTTTACATAAGTAGTATTTATTGCAATCTGCAGCTTACATGTAACCAGAGACTTGATCTCTGTCAGTCTCCTGAGGATCAGCAGTCCTTGTCCTTGGAGATGTGATCTGCCATCTACCTCTCAGGGAAGGAAAGCTGACAGAGCATATTAAAGAAGCTGTGCAGAAAGTGCTAAGGTATAATATTAATACCAGAGGACAGAATGAAGTAGTGCAGAGGGAACACAATATGTATATAAATACACACATACATTATATATATATATATATTTAGATACAAGTTGTCTTGAATAAATGAAATGCTGACCAACTTCAATCCATTCTTGAATCAATTTTCTTTTTGTTTATTTCATAACCTTTTTTTTTTAGCTGCTTAGACACTTCTAGTTTCAAGCATAAATGCTATAGCATTAGAGACAAACAGGTTGGTTTTTTGTTCTGCTTGGGTATGTTCAGTTTCACCAGAAACTGGTTAAAAAAAACCACAAACAACAAGAGATTTCCAAGTTGCTTTTTACAGACAGTCACCGAATTCAGTGTACAAATGGAAGAGCTCATCTAAAAGGAGGAAACACACCTTAAACACTCCTTTTGGAATTTCTTGGTTGTTGCTATATGGGCAATTTTTGTGACAGAATAACCAGAAGAATGTACCAGAACCTGATTTCTGTCTATGCATTAGTATTTGCGCACTTCTATCTTTATAAAGTGATCCTAGTGTGATGCATACTTAGTGTGATTATACTATGTGAAAATACTGAACTTTCCAGTAATTCTAACAGGAGGCAGCTGTTCTTCCTTCCTCCCTCCCAGTGAGCATCCCAGGATCAGATCCGTCACATTTACGCACATTGTGTAACAACATCATAATTGTGACATTCTTCTATAATCCCCCTGCATTTTTCAGAAAAGTATAAGAGGTCTAGTTTTGTTTCTAAGGCATGCAATGGTTTTCTTGAGACCAATCACCATTTTTTTCACCTATTGTGTCCTGGGGATTCAGATGGAAGGAGGTAAGACAGTCTTCTGGTGCAGCTCAAAATACCACAGGAGGTGTCTAAAGAGAGACTTTTTTTGATGAAAGGAAGAAAGCTAATGTAAGCTCAACAAGTAGGATAATTACTGCCTTGCATTCCAGCTGGTTAAGGAGATAGTGGAAGTAGATGCCAGTTTGGATATTTCCCTTCCCTCCTTCCACCCACAACCTTTTTTCTCTTGTGGGGCTCAGAGTGTTCCAAGCCAAACAAATGAAGAGACCTTCCAATCCTTAGTATCTCCCAAAGAAACGGTTGTAGGCCAAGGAAAATCCTATTTGGTCAGAGAGATAGTCACAGGGGGGATAGTTTTCACAGCGCTCATGCATCTGCTCCATTGGATTTTTATAATACTCGAAGTACCTGGAGTAGACAAAGACAGAGATACCATTCTGCAGATTCAGTCAATGCAATTGGAAATGGTTCACACACCTGACACTGACATGAAAGAAGTGATTCTCCAGGGTACCCCAACAGGGGATTGCTCATGCTGAGTTAAATATCTACGTACATACAAACAGGCTACTTAATCAATGCTGGGAAAAAAAAAAAAAAGGAGATTGAACCCAGCTTAAAGCAATTGCTCTGCAAGTTTTATCAGCAAAGGAGACCACAGAAGCAGTTAGGGTTTGAGGGGTTTCTTTGCCTTCATTCCCATTCCCCAACTACCCAGGAATATTTTTTGTTGTTAGTATTATTTATTTTTATTACATATTTATTTTTTATTTCCTGATTGAATTTATTTTTGTTCAGTTTCTACTTACTTTCCCACTAGCTATTATTGTCTTTTAGCTTAATCACTTTTCTCTCATCATCCTCACTTCTGTTGTAGACAACAACACTAGCCCCATGCAGCTATTTTTTTTTTTTTTTTTTTTGCCAGTTAAGCATGCCCAAATTTTTTAGTCTCAGCTCTGGATGCCCTTCTTAGCTCCTCTTCCAGATTTGATGAATCTTTCCTGAAGACTGTACACAACATCACAGAAGTCCCACCACTACCTCATGAATTTTTACTTTATTTCTGTATTAGAAATACCCCATTGCATGTTGTTGAATTCATATTTCTGGATCAACCTTATCTCATTATCAAATAATACACCAGGATGTCTGTCTACCTCTGTCCTTTCTGATTAATGCTTAGAGCAGAAGCTACTTTTACAATGCCCCACCTGTAAGGGAGTTGTTGGTACAGACAGTACGGTTGCTGTTAATGAATTTCATCTTGATTTTAATCACTGCAGGTTTCACCATCAGCCCGTTCCTCTGCTACAATACTGTGATCCTTCCCTCTACAGATGGGGCCTCCCAATCTTCTATTGTCTAAAAACAGCATTACCCTTCCAGTCCAAAGATGGATTGAATAAAAAATCCTTTTTCCAAAGGCCCACATGGGAGAGTAGCTTAACAAGCCCTTCCAGGAAATATATGAAGAACACCCTTGCATTACCTCAAATTTTTCAGATAGTTAGTATTTCTCCAAATCTTTATGTCTGGGATTTCTGCAAAAGTAGATGTATGATCTACAGCTTCAGAAAGAACAGCCACTCCGATCTTGCCTTATTCCTGCAACAGAGCTGTGCTTCCTTTGTAGGAAGCCAGAGGCAATGATCAAGCTTCTGTGATTCTCATTTTCCTGGAAATTGGTTCTGATGACCCTGTACGTTAGAGTAGCTTCTAACTTGTATCCTTCTGTCCCCATGGATAGCCCAGACAGCCAGCAGAGTCTTTCTCCCTGGGAGGAATACTGGAGTCTAGCTATGAGCTCTCCAAAGGATATTAATGAAAAAAGAACCATTTATTCATCACTGAGTGTCTCCTACAGCCATTTTCCTCCAAAGTGTGGAGGTAATAACATAGATGTACTACAAAATAATGCCTTGTCCTGTCTTATTGCCTTCCCGCCCCTCTTCAGAACAGGGACAGAGTCCAGCACTCAGCCTGACTCCTGAGTCATTACCGTTCATAGAGGCTGGACCTCTTCTGCCTCTTCACAAACGCATTGGCAACTTCTTTTTTAATCTTGATGCCTACCAAGAGAGAACACTGCAGGTTAGAGATGCAGGGCCATGGTTTGTGAAACAGAGACCAATCTAACCTCTGAAAATGGAAAGTCTGCTCTCTTCACAAGCAGATGACTGCTACAAACCATTCTAATGGCCTGTTCATCTCTCCCCACCCCACTATCTGCTCAAAACCCAACAGCTGGGCTCTCTCCTTGCTGCAGCCTTCACATCTCCATGGGGCAAGGGCTTTTTCTGTCATAAACTCCATTCCCTTATCATACAGCATGATCTGAATCCACAGCAAATGTGCAGAAGGCATAAAATATGAATAAGGAGAAAAGAGAATGGCACCCTATCTCCCTGGCCTGCTTAACTTCAGTCTTGGCTTTCTTTCTATGTTGTGATTCAACTGAGAGTAATATGGGATACCAACAACCAGACCTTAAAATGCTTCCAATAAGCCATGAGCAACAGACAGAAACACCAATGTTCACATGTACAGGGTTCCACGAAAGGTAAAGAGTACGAAATAGCAACAGTAAACATCACACAGGCAGAAATACACCCAGAGAGAAATACACAAGATCCCAGTGTTCAGGACCTGGAGAACACGAGAGGCCTTTCAGCCATGACAGCATTTGCCCCTGCTCTACACTAACACACCATTACTTGTTGCTTGTTGGCTGCCTTGGTTCGTGGTTGTGCAAACCCTATGGTGCTGTGAAGCACCCCACAAACACTAGGTTGAGGCACTTCATTCCCCATCCCCATCCAGGATCATCACAGCACAGCCTCGCTCCATGGGATCATCCCACACCAGCAGAGGTGTGCACAAATGCTGGCACAGCAGCAACACAGGCAGCTGCACACCAATATTCATTTCAGCATGGAAACTGGAATGTCAATCATTACTGTCATTGGGGGGAAGAAGAATCTAAGATCTCTGCCTGTGGGGAGATGGGGAAGTTTGTTCCTTCCCTTGTCCCCATTAAGTGTTCAACTGTGTTTCTCTTTGGAGGTGAGAGGTATGCCCTCTCTTGTGAGCTGAGGTTTAGTCTGGATCAAAATACTGACTACACAGAAACTACCAGTTAATGAGCTGTCAGAAACCACCACCTTTCCCTGAACACTCTCTACACTTCTTTTTTTCTCTTTCCCAATCTGTGTTTATATTGGCTCACTGGAAAAATACCAGCTTTCATGCTCCTCAGCAGCAATGTTATCCTTTAAAATGTGAGAAAGGAGAGTCAGGGGAGAACGAAAGGGATTTTCCATACAGATTTCTGCCAGGATCAGCTTGCTGCAAAACCTGTGAACATCTCAAGGTGTGCAAATCCCCATGTCCCAGGTGACGGACGAGAGGAACTGCAAATCCCTCATGTTGTGGGATTTGGCAGGGATGTCACAGCCCTTTGCCATGGGCAGGTTCTGCTCTCTCAACAATCTGGGGATACAGCAATCACTCTGGATAGAGGTCTATAAAGCCAGCTCAGAGCAGGGTAACAGGCCATGTTGCTCCACCAACACAACCCAGTTTCACAGAGGGTAGATGCATCCAGCTGCTAACAAGCTGCAGAACTCATGTGCTGCCAGGGGATTGCTCAGGGGTTGTGGAGATGCAGGCTATGACACTAGCACACCCAGAGTAATGCTGGCCTGCAGGGACACTGACCTCCTTCGTGTCACCTGCTCATGTGTGAAAGGCAGCCCCCTTGTTTGCAGTACCTCAGGGACTGCAGCACTCAGGGAGCAAAAAGGGAACAGCTAGAGGGACTCAGCATGGTTCTTGTTCAACCCTCGAACCTGTCAAAGGGGAAAAAGGAGGCAGATGCAGTAGAATAGAGCTGAGCACCAGTCACAATGATATACTCACTGTCAGCGCTGAGAGATCCTGAAGGCTCTTTGGGATCTGGAAGACAGACAGACAGACAGAAGAGAATCTGCTTGGGCTGATTTAGACTATCCTCCTTTGCTGTACTCTGTAACTGAATCCTACCACCAACTAGCTGGGTCCAGCTGCCCCCACTTACCTAGAAGGTCTGTTTCTCCCAAAAGGGTTTTATTAACACTCACCATTTAATAACACCCACCATAATGGCAAAATTAATCCATTATGTCTGGATTTGTTTAATTTCAACTTCCTCTGAGACAGGTCAAATGACACAAGAGATGTATAATCACTGTGGAAGGAGGAGGAAGACCTTCCTCCTTCACCCTTTCTGCCCTTGCTAAGAGTAGGGACAACTAGAACTAGGGGACCATTTGAACAAACCCCAAATTTGGACAGAACATGAATATAGCTTAGCTTCTCCTCTATCTTTGGAAAGATACATTTCTTCTGGGGGGAAATCACAGCCATTGACAGAGAAGAGAAATAGATCAAAAAATTAGTAACAACTCTGTCCTCACAGCTTTCAGGCACAAGGTTGAGGTACCTGGCTCATCAATCCTCTCAAGAGCAATTTACACACAATATTTCTGTGTTCAGTCTTGAACTTAATCCTTGATGCCCCCAAAAACATCCAAGAAAAGCATCCTCTAAGAGCTCCTAATCTGGAGTCTCACACACTGCCCTATTTCACAATTTTTTTTCTTTCACTATTTCACCATATCTTTTTTCAACAGTGTAGGTTCCACCCAAGTTACCAGGTATTTGGCACAAGTGTATTTATGGACAGAAAGAGGACTCTAGAGACCAAAAAAAAAAAAAAAACCAAACAACAAAAAGCACAAAAAAAACCAACCAAAAAAACCCACACTAAAAAAAAGCCAAAAACAAAACAAAAAATTTGTGTGAAAAGTGTTATGTGTAGTTCTATTTTTAAGCAATGTATGCACTCCTTTGATTTAAAATAAAATAAAATTAGGAATTACTCCTAGGCCATTAAGCATTCTGAAATATAATAATGACTAAAAAAAGGTAGATATATACTCGAGTGAAAAAGTAAGAAAGAGACTGACAGAAGAAAAACTGATTAAAAAAATATATTTGCCAGAATTGAATCATGACAATATCAATGCCAAGGACTGAACAGAATTTAAATCTGAATGAGATAATACAGGAAAACACAGACCTCTCTCTTGATCAACTTCATTTTTTGATGTAAAGGAAAGCACTAATTTTTCAGATCTTTCCCCTCTTCCCTCTCTCTTCATAAATTATAGAGCTGCCACTACATTACTGTCTTTCCATTATGCAGTCACCATCACTAAATCACCTTCAAATGAGATGTGCTCATTTCAATGGGACAACTCCCTGTTTTTTAAACATGAATAGGAAGGTGTATTTCCCTCCAATTCTCCGCATCCCACATTTACCTGCAGGGGGAAGCTTGACTTGGTGCCTATCTCTGTGATCCTACAGCACTCCAGGACTGGCAAGGCAAAAAATCCCTCTCCCTATGGCTGACACAAATCTGCCTGCAGTTCAACCGTCTTACTCAAAAGTGAGCATCCAGCATACCTTTGCCACTTCACCCAAATGATAAACTTGTTTAATTCTTAAACATATTAAAATGTTCAAGTTCTCTGCTGCAATTCAATAAACAACTGAGGTGGGGGGTGAGTGGGTGTTGACCAGTGGAAGAAAGTGTCTGGCAAAAGACGGGTCTCTCTGTTCTCAAGCCCTCTCTCATCCCTGACTCTGTCTCTCTAGCAGAGATCTGAAGTTGTGCAATGACTGGTGGTACATTTCCTCCCCCCCCAAAGCTGTCCTTCTCTCCCAGACTAAAGGGAGGCTGGTGGCAAGTTGCAGGGTTGAGCAGTGATCTAAAGAGCCTTCCTGGAAAGATGCCCCCTTACCTTTCTCGCAAGAACAGAGTGCTACCAGGGCCAGAGTCACAATCAGCAGTGCCAGCAGACTCCTCATGTCTTCTTTGGCTGTGCTAGTCTCCCTAACCTCAGAGTTTTCCTGGAGGTTACTGAAGTTCTCCGTGGCTTGCTTTTGGGCAGCAATTTATATCCTGTGATTGCTTGGAAAGATCAGGGATCTGGCTTTTGTTCCTGGGTCTGCACTCCAAAACAAAGCCCGTCCTTTGGGCCAGGGGATACTGGATCCTGGCAGTCATTTTGACATCCATCTCAGTACTCGGGGCATTTCCAGAAGATTTTATCAGAGGTTTTGAATGGGACTGTTGAAGAAAAACAACTGGATAAAAAAAAAGTCATCTTTCTTATAAACTTCAAAGTCACTCAATTGTGTTGGAAAGGCAGGAGAGATACCAGGCACACTCGGTGGTGACCCTTCTCCCCACCCCACCTTGACTCATTCCCCTGAAGGTAAAGAAACCTGTAAAACAGTTTGCATAGGGCAAACACATTAGATTCTCAGACAGTTTCACAATTTCACCAAATCACTTTGGAGAGATGAGATTTTTAAATTGCTGAGAACTTTGGAAGCTAGTTTGAGGGAGGGTCTTTTTTTTTCTTCCTGGAAATCTTCCTAGTTTCAAAGCTTTATTTTGCCTTTTCTTGTCTAAAAATCAAATAAACATTTAGACTCTAAAAGTGTTTTATTCTTCAGGATTTGAGTGGTTAAAGTTGCTTGGTACATCAAGAGCCTTGCATGGGCTCTTCTACAACCTGTCTATCAATGACCACACACTCCCAAACCCACTATGCAAGTTCCCAAAGTCATGTCCCACAAACAGCACAGGAATCATAATCTTCCTCCACTTTCTATCCAGTCCTCCTCAGACCCATGTGCAGGGGGTGCTTCCAAGGTTTACAGAAGTACAATTTAAAAAGCTCCCAAGGGCGGTCAGAGTCATCAGGGATTTTGCCAATTATTAGAAACACTGTCTTTTATCTTACAGAACTTTCAGGATTAAAAAACCCCAAAGTTAACTTCTCTACAGCCCAGGAAATATGAATATATATACTAACAACTTCCAGCAGAAGTTGTTGCACATATATTATTCCAGCAAAAGAGCAACAGTTTAAAAATAAATAAATATCTAAAAATAATAGGTATTCTAGGAAAGTTATGCTTCCAGATGAATATTTGAAATAATATAAATAAATAAATATACAATTCTAGTAATCCAAACAGCTTTATTTGTCCTCCCAGCTTTTCCCAAGCTTTCTAACCAGCATGTAGTCTCTTAAAACTGTTAAGTTGTTGCTCTCACTAATGAGATCCCACAGAAATCTCCGGTATTATTCAATATTTATATTGCTTAACTGGAGGCTGGAATCGCAAGATATTTCTGGACACAGACTCAGACAGCACGAGCCCTGTGTCTTCTGTTTTGGTAGTGTCACAGTGTCAAGTCAAACTCAGACACTGCAGACTTGTTGATTTTAGGGTATGCAAGTTTGCTCCAGTTGGTGATTATAAGATTTACTTCCTTGGGAACATGCAGAGCAAGCGTGGGTGTGAATATACCTAATCCAAATAGTTTTTTTTCCTTAAATGCATTTATCTCTCACTTTTTCCCCTGGACAAAACTTTAGCAACTGGCAGGATGGAGTTTCCTATCAGAAGGGTTTTCAATAAATAAATCAATCACATTTCTTTCCAAAGGTTCAATTTCAAAGCTGGCAAAGCAATGAGGCACATTTTGGAAGAAGATGCATATTTATAATGTGCCAGGTAGATTTGGCTCTAGACTTTATTTCACAGATTAGTCAACAACTTGATACTTTACACCTCATAGCCTTTGATAGCACGTCATGAACCTTTCCCTGTAATTTGCAGGTGCCCGTGTGAGCCTGGAGGTGTAAATGTTCAAACCATCTGTGCTGAGCTAAGATAGATGTTATGTCCCCTACACATCACACACCAAGGAGTGTCCCAGCTGCTGTGTCTGCTGACCAGCCCAGAACAGTACTGAATTCTCAGGCATGTCAGCACTGGTGCTGTTTGGTCTGGGGACAGGCTCTGCAATGTGCCCCGGTGATGGTGGTGGTGACAATGCAACTGCAGTCATGCTCACTCCTCAGTGGTCCAGGAGGTGCTCAGTAACAAGTGCACAGGGTTAACACACCTTGGTTTCAAATGATTTGTGAATAGTAAAACTAAATTGTTCTATACAAACAAAATTGGGTCTGACCCCCAAACCTGGGTTTCTTTTATTTGTTTTTTTGCCACCAAGACCCCTCTCTGCCTTTGGTTTCTGCAGCTTTCTAGTGCTACCGGAATCATTCCAAGAAGAAGTAAGGGTTTTGAAAGGGGATTGCAAAAGGAAATATGATTTAAGTCTGAACCACACACTCCTTTCTACTGGAGTACCCTACATCATGACCTGATGGTAACTGGATAAACAAGAAGAAACTTACAGGCATTTTCTGTCATCAACCCTCACTCTAACTTTGTTTTAAAGATTAAATAGATGCCTTCTAAATTTTGTTTTCCCAAATGATGAAAGATATTACAGATTTAATTTTCAAAAAGTGCCTTCTGAACGCCATAGCATTATAAGATGTCTTAAGACTGGGAGCTGAGATTGGGCAGTGACCTCTGAAAGAAGCAACTTGTAGACCCCGCAACAAAAACACTGTAGATCCTTTCAAACTCTTGTGATTGCAAGGTAGTAATTTTTTCCCCAGAATCTATGATAAACAAACTCAGCTTCTTCATGGAAAATTACACACCCCCTTTAAAAATACTCTGACTCATGAGAGGATAGTATCAAACCAGCAATTTATTGTGTAGTAAACACCCACATCCTGAACTCACTCTGATCTCTGCTACATCAGCTCAGCACTAATTAACACGGTGTAGGAATCCATGGCTACATGGGAGAGAAGCAGCAGGCTGGATAACATACAAGGACACAAGCAACTGAATATGTTTCAGAGCCATTGCATTTTTGGGGAGGATACCCTGGACTTCAGGCCCCAGGATAGGGGCAGGTCATCCTTTACTTAGTCCTCCTCTTCCCAAAATAGTGCTTGTAAGCAGCAGCATAGCCATGGCGATAAGCGTACAGTTCACAAGGGTAGTAGTCCTCGCAGATCTCCCTCTGACGTTCATGGGGTGCCTTAGTACGCTCCCTGATCCTGTAAAAGCAGGAGAGATGAGGGGTAAGTGCTGTCATCCCAAATATCTGCCTACAGCCCTTTCCTGTACCACAGCTCCCAACCAGGATTAAGGGTCCATCACCAGAGTCCATTATCCAGCTACAAAGATCTTGGCACACCAGCTCCTGTGTTTACTACACCCAGGCAGTGACGTGACTACAGCAGGAATGTTTTGCCTCCTCAGGTAATCTTTTATTTCAGGGCTAAGTAAGGTGGTAGAGAGAGGGGAATGGCTCCTGCCTCAGCCCGAGGAAGGGTCCTCCCTTTGCAGCCTACCTCAGCCTACTCCCTTCAGCTCTTCCCCAAAACCACACATGGAACAAAGATCTAAAACACCCTGCAAAGGGGCCACCTGGTACTGAGGAGGTTTGCTTTGATGCCTCGCTAAGAGATGATTTCTGTGCTTCAGTCTTAATTTTCACAAGCCTTGCATGACGCATGAAATTGCCTATATCCATATTTTATAGAGGAGGCAAGGAGGTCCTCAGATGGTCCTGTGATTTAGAAAAGGTCTTGCAAGTTCTGCTTGAGATCTGAAGACTAGAATAAGATCTCAAACCGAGCTTTCTTTCTGATCATCCCACACTCGTTCCCTCTCCTTCTGTTCGTGTTTCCTTTAGAAGAATTAATCAGAGTCCTCCCAGAACATGACATGTCCCCAGACCAAAGGATGTGTTCTCTGTTATCTGAATTCTCACTTCTCCCAGGACTGGGGACTTCAGGGATACCTCACATTGAGAGAGGGACTGAGGTTTCTGGTACCTCTGGTACCAGCCTGGGCTTGGCAAGGAGAAACCTCTCCCCACTCCCATCCTCAGTGTCCTTAGTCCATAACATACCTCTCTTGAGTGATGGTTCCTAGTCTCGTGTCAGCTTGTATGAAGTCATTGGCCCTTCGCCTGTTGATGAAGGGATCTGAGAAGGCAAGTAGTTATTCAGGATAGAGAGATACTTTTTCAATGCCAGACTGCAACAAAAGCTAGCTTTCACCTTTATAACAGCCTTCTTGTCTGCCCTCCCATGCACAGTGAAACCCAGGACCTTTTAAATTCCCTCCTGTCGCCCCCACTGGTTCGTGCACAGGCTCTCACTGTGGTTGGAGCAGCCTGTATGGAAGTGCACATGCTGGTCTTGCTCTGCTGTTACTCAAGTCACCTAGGGGAATGCTACTGTGATTTTGCTGCCACAGTTCTTCCAAGTAAGTGGAGCTTGGCAAAGAAGAGGTAGGCAACAAGCTGCACAGACCATGGGAAGTCTGAGCACACTCAGAATTACAAGAATAGTGAAATTACAGGTAAAACCAGGAAGGGCCTGAGTAATTCTCTCTGCCTCCAAGGTTAGGCAGTCACTGGAAGTTTCACTTCCAAGAAACATCACAGTCCTGTTGCAGAGTTCAGGAGTCTGTGGATATTGGCTCACACATGTGCCTTTGTGCTTCTAAATATCTGCTTTGTGAAGCCCTTCTTCCAGATGTCCAAATTCTTTTTAGTTTCGGTCCATCTGTGCTCTAACCTCTCCAGGATATTGCTTGTTCCAGAGTGAGACTCTCCACCCTTTCATGCGTTTCCTGTGACACTCACTCTCTCTTCCAGCAGAAGGATCCTCCTACCCATATATCCCACCTGCTTCCAAGGTGCTTAGGCAAGGCTCTCCTTGTCCTTGGGAGAGAATAAATTTTGTAACTGGCTTCTGCAGTACCTCTTTCCATGCTCATCCCAGAGCTTTTTGAGCAATGTTCTTTTCTAGTGTCAGTTAACCTGGTTTTGGTACATGCAACAGACACCTAAGATCTGTTTGCCAATTTTCTTTTCCAATTTGCATTATATTCAATGCAAAATGGTGGTATGAACATGTGCTGATATATGTGAAGTCTTTTTTTAACTCTCTCCCTTTTTATCCTGAAACTCCATCTCCCAGTAAATTCAGCTTCCTAGGGCTGAATGGTTCTACCTGTTTAATCCCTACAGTAAAGTACAAGGAAATTATCTTGGGCACATCTGTAGCACACTTCAAATCCAAGAAAATATTAAAGCAGTCTTACAATAATGCTCATGGGACTCCATGCTCTCGTGGGACTCTGGGGAAAGAAAGAGTAAAACATGTGGTAAGACACTGTATTGATAGGAATCGGTCTTTCACACTCTGCAGATCAATAGAACACACATACAAATCAGAGAAGCCAGGTTTTAAGGTATTGTTTAAAAGGAAGAGAAAGGGATCAGAGGTGTGACCTAGAATTTATTCAAGTTTAGAGTGTTCAGGAGTTTAATATGGAGCCATGTGGTGTTTTAGTCAGGACTTCTAGACTTGTGCTCAGTCATCCAGTCTGATTCTCAAGAATGGTTCCTCACCTTCTGTTCCTGACACTACAGTGGGTATGATACATGCTTACCTTCAAAGCTTACAAGTGTTCTTAGGGAATGAATTAGCACAGTGAAATGCACTTGACTCTTGGATAAAGCAGCATGTTAATTCCACCAGTACAAAACTGTGTGCCTCACAGGAAAACAGGGCTAACATTACAAAAGGAAAAAGGGAAATCTTCCTATTAATAAGGAATAACTAAGAATAAATACTCTTATTGTAGTCCAGACAACAAAAGGACAGAAAGAGGAGCAGTCTGTGAGGTGAACTGGAACAGAGCGGAAGGGGCTGAAGCATCCTGGACCACAAATCCCAGTGACTGGAGCCAACAGCTCTGGAACAGGAATAGGAGGATCTGATGCAAGGGCAACAAAGCAGGCAAGAGATTAAGTTAAAAGAAGACACAAAGTTACATAACAAATATCTGAACAGTCCCAAAAATATCTGCAGGTTTGGAGTTATCATTCTACCCAGTAATAAAGGTCACCTACCATAGCAAGTGGCAGCCATCACCAAGACAGCCAGAAACGTAAGGATGATGAGAGTGCGCATTGTGCCAGTGCAGGGAGGAATCTCTCGCTGTCTTTCTTGCTGTGTTTTGCTTTCTTCCCGCTGAGGGCAGCTGGAGATCCTGGGCTGACTGCAAAATTAGCAGTGGAATGTTTATTAAGAAAACATAGTTAGGAGGGGGCCTATGAAAGAGCCTGGGCAAGACGATGGCTAGCTGGTACACTCTCTATGGAGCCATTACAAAACATCCTCTATTAGCAGATTGAATCAAGTTTTGGGAATGCATGCCCCCTTCCTCTCCCAGTTCAGGGCTGGGGGCCATAATCCAGAGACAAACATGTCACTAGCACTTCACACTCATAAAAGCTGGCCTGCTTTTGGAATTTCAGAAAAGGAATTTCAGAGACTGCCAGGGGTCCAAACGCAGAGGTGCGTGTTGACCCCAAATGCAAATGTTTGCCTTTCTAATTTTTCCTCTGATCTGCCCTCTTTGCCCCCACCATATTCCATCTGGATAGAGCCAGCCCAAACTGTTTTGTCAGCTTTGCCGATGGAGATGTGGAGACTGAGGCTTCAAACACTCCTGCTTCCCTCAGTCCCCCTCTCTCCAGTGGCCCTTGCTGTGATGCCAGCCCACCAGTCATCAGAGGAACACAATCCTAGTGCCCCTTCCTGTCTCCTACTTTATTGCTCCAGGAGTAACAAGCAGCAACCTAAACAAATCCCTTCTGCCGAAGGGATCATCATTTTTGCATTAAGATGACACCCATAACTCTCTCTCAGAGGGCTCTCACTGTGGTACTGATGCTACACTCCATTTCCAGACCAAGGAAGGACATCTTGGTGGAGGCAGAGGTAACCATATCTCTCAGGACTGATGTCTGTCTGGTCTAGCACTAGCAGTCCTTGCTCCACCAGTCACTGACATCAGATGTCAATGGAAGGCTTTTCAGCTGGGACAAATCTCCAAGGCCAGCAGTCTCTGGCAGCATTACCTTGCTTTTTAAGCAACTCAAGAGTTTGCCTGGGACAATATCAAGGACAGCAGAGACGGACAAAATATTGAGTGTTCAACTCTCGAGCAGCTCTGTGGAAAAGTAAAAAGGAGTGAAAGAAAGAAGGAATTACAGAGATGGCCATCCCTGCTGGGTGAAAGGCAAAGAGGAGTTGTTTGCTAGAGGAAAGGTAGGGAGGGAAAGTGGGTACCCAGTGCTTGCCAGCCCTCGCATAATGGCAGTGGTGGGGCTGGGACCCTGCCCACTGCCTGGGGATGGACCTAGGGCATAGGAACCATTCTCAAGTGTGATCCAAGCTGTGATGACCACCCGTTTTCTCCATGTACACATGCAGGCATCAGGATCTCTCACTGTCAGGGTACAGAGCGAATGCACTCTGGGTGCAGGCCATTCTCCCCAAACCACTGTGGTGTTGTCACTGCTGTTACATTCAGAGGCCAATCCGTGAAACCACACTGCAGGTAACACAGCCAAGGACTACAGGGTCAGCTAGCCAGAGCCTAACCCTTCATCAGCAAGGAGTGAAACTTCAGTGGAAAAAAGATTACTCTTTTAACCTTACTAAATTAATATTTACAACTTAGCCTTTCAATGCCAAACTCATGGCCCTTTCCTGAAGCCTCTGGTTTCTGGGAGAGAAATTGAGAAGGGTCTTCAACTACAGATCAAAGAGATAGAATTGTTTTTCTTCCCCATTATCCCATCCCATGTAGAGATCACCTCAGTCCTGTGCCATCAATGCTTAGCCTGAAATGAGGAGGAAAACTAAGGGAAAAAACATAAGTCTGCTATACACAGAATGTCAGAAGGGAACCGAGACATTTATGCTGCCCTTCCATGCCCTGCCACTCCAGCCTCTTTAAGGAAAATATCTGCTCTGTGATTGTTTTCATTCCTTAGAGCTCATAGTTTTGGACTTAGTGTTGAATGTGGATTTTATAGGTTTCCCAAGTGTCTTGTACAGGAGCTACTAAGAAAGGGAGATTTGAGGGAGAGACTGGAGGAGGGACCCCAGTGGGAAAACAGTGGGGCACAGAGAGGGAGATGCTGGGAGTACTTTGGAATGAAAGTGAGGCTGCACAATGGGAAACTCCAACATGCTTTCCAGCCAAACCCTCTTTATTTATCTTTACTCAAGGCAGAGCTTTCTGCTCCCTGGAAGACTCTGTTCCTATTTCAGAGGACGGTGATCCCAGAATGCCTGGAGCATACCCTGCATCAACCACAGGAGAAGAGCCACAAACACCACTTTAACCAAATGTTTCATTTTTCACCACAGAGGCAATACATTTTTCAAGGGTGAACATGCCAGCAACACAGCCCTATACCAACAAATCTCCTTCGGGGAATGCTTTCTCTTGCAAAAGTACATCTCCTTTATACTCCCCCTGCACTCCATACTTCCCCAGCACACATCTCCCCTCCCCAGCAATAGTGGGCTGCCCCAGAGGTAACATACCATGCAAGACAGTGAGCCCAATCCCTCTGCTTTCTAGAAGCAGCCACAGGTTAGAAATAGAGAAGGGAGCTAAGACAATCACCTGCACATGCCAGGGAAATCTCTGCAGTCCCTCAAATAAAGGGGGAATCAAAAAAGCAGCCCTGATCTGTCTACTGCTGGATTGGAGACTCACAACGTTATACACATGCCTTAGCAACCACTCCTAACATTTTGCAGCTGTGAAGCACCAGCAAGGCAATAATAACAAGCAGCTGTCCAGTAAAAGCAAGGCAGTCCCTGCATACTCACTAAGGTGTTGCTTCCCTGCCAGCCTGCAGCTCTTGTCTGGCGGTGCAGCTCTTCTACTGTCCTGAACTCTGGACTGAAGAAAAGGGACCTTTTATTTATTAGCATTAATCAGTGACTCCTCCCCTCTCCCACTCTTGATCCACCCCCAAGGGTACCACCTTCTCCATCAGAAATACCTTCTGCTCACAGCCAGGAAATCAACAACCTCAAGGAACTGAGCCAAGAGGGAGAGAGCCAGAGCAGACACCAGGGACTAGTGGGGGCACAGCCACATCCAGGTTACCTTTCTGTGCCTAGGAGCAATGAGTGGACAGAGATCTGAGAGCAAGCTCCAGTCTTTGCTGCAAGACCCTCCCTCTTCCACCCCCTCCTCCCCTTCTGTGCTGCTAGCCAAGGCACCTATTCTTCCACAGGAAACAGGAAGCCAGAAGTCTTCTCCCCCTCTCTTCATGCTGCTTTTACGACTGTCTGATCCCCTCTCTTAGTGGCAGGCTAATGTCAGACTGAAAATTCACGTAACAAAGGTGTCTGCTTTCTGATGTAGCTCTGAAAACCCCAAAGTGACAAAACCCTGTGAGTTGGCTTACACAAACTTAACCTCTGAGATGCACCCTCTCAGTTCACACCAGGCCCATAACGGTGCTGGACAGCCTAGGACATATACTTGTTGGACAGGGCTACTGGGCTTCTGATCCTGTCTGCACCACCTAGCACATGGTGCATGTAGAGCACACAGGCACCACACTGGGATGTTGAACCCATGAGAGTAGCAACCTGCAGCAGTGCTCCCTCCCTCAGCAGAAATCCATGCCTGGTGCATGCTCAGCAAAGGTGCTGTCAGGTCCAGTCCCTAAGTAAGGGTAGGCATAGACTGAGGGACTGAGCTCAGCAGAGGTGCAATCATAGCATGGTTTGGGCTGGAAGGGACCTTACAGATCATCTAGTTCCAACTCCCCTGCCATGGATAGGGACACCTTACACTAGCTCGGGTTGCTCAAAGCCTCATCCAGACAGCACAAGACCCTGGTCTTTGGGTATTCACAACTTCTCTGGGCAACACCTTTCAGCATCTCTCCACCCTCACAGTAAAGAACTTCATTGTAATATCTAACGGAGGGATGACCAGCTGCAGAAATTAGTGGTTTGGGAAGTTAAGAAAGAAAACCCATCACATTATTCATTAATTAAACAGCTGGTGAGTGTGGCTTGCCTGGTCCAGAAAAAGATCAAGTGTGGTCTGATGTGCAGTCTCAGTTGCAAAATGAAAATGATAGCATATGCGTGGAGTTAAAGAACCTCCAAACGTTTGGACAGAGAACAGTCCAATGGTCATCTCTTTAGTTCCTACAGTGCTCTATGAGTTTGGGGAAAGTTCAGACTTCTCTGTGGCAACAAGGTACCATGTTACTTGTGTCCTTGTACAAGCAGCTATTGGTCCTCAGAGCCTGAGAACATCAACCTTGAACTGTTTCCAAGGTATAGGACACTTAATCATGAACCACTTCCAAAAAGCTGTGCAAACAGGAGGACATTTCTTGTCCTAATCTACCACCCATCAGGGTCATCTGAATATTCGGCCCTGTGACATGCTGCACCCTGAAAGAGATCAGAAGATCTGGTCACCCTCATCTACCTAGGTACTGGTAAACCTTTGGCCCTGGTGCCATCTGACAAACTTTTAGTTAAGCTGGAGAAAATGGGCATTAAAGCCAAAACTGTGAGATGGTAAGGAACTAGACAAATGGGGTGGAAGCTTAAGCAGTGAAAAAGAGAAATGTTGAGAAACCACTAATTTAATTTCTCTTGGGACTAGTTTTACTGAATACTTCCATTAATGGCTGGCTTTAAAAAGGAATACTTCTGAGGAATTTTGTCAATAACACAAAGCAAGAAAGCAACAGCAGTGAAAAGGAGGCATGAGAGCTTATACAGGATGAAAAGGAGGACCTTGAAAGCTGCAGTAATAGAAATAGGATAATATCCAGCAGCACAAATGCAAGGTCTTCCATTGGGATTAGCAGAAAGAATCCTGCTGTAAATTAAAAGCTCAGAAACTGGAAGTAAACAGTTAATAAAAGGAACAACTATGAACCAACAATCATAAAGTTGATGACAGAATACTGATTCTGATATGTCTACTGAGAATGTGCCTGCAGAGATGGGCATCTATTAGTGCCATTGGATAAGTTACCAGGGAGAACTCAGCAGGATCCCTCTGTATGGCCCAGGTCACCTTTGTTCACAGAAGAATAATTCCAGTGGGAAGTGTTATAGATGAGGACTAACAAGACAAGGTGATTTGCGCTCACACCCAAAATGACAGACCATAGCCCGTGGGAAGCACCAAGCCTCTCCACCCCTGCATTGTCCACAAGGCTTTTCCAGCAGGACAATGAACTAGCAATTACGTTCTGTTTCCAGTACCCCTCCAGAGGCTGTTTCAGAGTCCACAGCTCTCATGATTAGGATAAATCTCATTTCCAGACTCTGTGTCTTTAGGGCCGTGATCCATATCTATGTGTCCCTCACCTAGTGCCCAGCTCGTGATAGGAAGACTTCAGCAGAGTTGCTGAGCACTACAGTAAGGGAATAAACCTTATCACATCTGCAACAGAGCAGGGTTTCCAAACCCAGGTTGCCTGGAGTAACAAATAACTGGACTCATCAATCTGGACAGTCCTTTTCAAGCTTAATCCTGTGTTTCAGGATGGAAGTTAGTCAGCAACCACAAGGTCTATGGCTTAGGAAGAGATTTCTCAACATGACAAACAAGTGCTTCTTAGAACAACTAGTTCTACAGCACATGAGAAAACAAGATTTTATTTTTATTTTTTCATTTGGTCCTAAGTAATACCTCGGAACTGATCCAAGAAGAAAGTATAATTGAGCCATTAAGTAAGAGTGTCCAAGTATCCACAATCTAATTAAAGTCAACAACCTCATGGAATAAATCGTGCTGAAAACTAGCATACCGACACTAAGCTTTAGAAAGAGAGATGTTTTTTAAACACAGAAGCTAGTCAAAAGACTATAAAATAAAAATAAACAGAACACATTTCAGACATTTAAAGAACTCAATATACATATCGGAACGTGTGTTAGTTCTGGCAGCAAACTTACTTAGCTACCCGAAATTAACCCTAAAACTAGTTCAAATGCTAGTTCAACCTGGGAAAGACACATTTCAAGAACAGATTGAAAACTTTCCAAAGGTTAAGAGAAAGGGGAAGCACATAAACAGGAGAAATCTAGTTTCACAGCAATCGAACATTATTTGCAAAATAACTGAAATTATTAGTTTCCATTTCCATGGTGGGATGGGGAGAAGAGAGTAATTTCATAATAGATAAGTGGTGGGGATGGGGAAAAAAAAGTAATTTCATAAAAAGTAAGCAGTGAGTTTTTTCCCAAAAAATATTTAAACACATATATTTGAAACCTGTCTTGACCTTTCTCCTGAGAAAAATTTTGCCCCCAGCATTTACAACATTCTGCAAAAATAAAAGTTTCCAGTGTGAAAATATGTATTGGTTCTAACAAAGTGAATCCATGTATAGTCTTAGAGCTCTGAAAACCACCATGTAAGCTTACAGATAGTGTCAGTCTCCTGTGGGTGGGGAAGGTTCCCATACCAGCTCACAGCTATTTTCTTTCCTGCTTTCTCCAACATTGTGGGTTAGGATGCACTTTAGAAGTTCCCCTTTCCATCTTACATAATGAATTCCATTGACTTTCTCCTGCCCATGGATGTGGAGTACACCTGCAGCCTGAAGGGTGTCACTCTGGGCTCTGGGACAACTGGTTGCTCAGTACCCCAGTGTCAAGGAGCAGGACTGAAAATAAATACCATAAAGAGGTCCAGATCCTTCCTCCCTGAAGAAAGTCAGAGGGTGATGGAGAGGACAATTCTTCTTCTACCTGCACTGGCCTACAGAATTTGGTCCTATCTCCACATTAGTCATGACCATAAAAAGAAATTTACAGTTGATGAGCTGTCAGGTTTGGCTCGTTGGCTGGTTGGTAAACTGAGGACTTTTTTGGCCACTGTATTATGTTGGTGGTGGCAGATGTTCAATCTACTGAAATTCAGAGATTAGTGTCCAGATAAAACCTCACAGCCATGGTCTATGCAGTTGTGATCCTCAAAGTTACTCCTTGTAATCCATCAGACTTCAAAATGAAGGCCAATATCCTATAAAAGTCGCAGTCTGGGTATGAATACAGGAGTATTTGGAGTCAGCAGTACAACCTAATGGAAGCTCATTGCTTTCCATTTCTGCTTGCTGCAAAAAAGTGAGCCTGGCTCAAGCCTTCAATTCCAATACTCAGCACCATTCATGGGATTCACTGAGTTACTTTAAAGACTATCTCTGTTTGGCCAGGACTTCTCAGAACAGCTGTGTTTGGCTGAAACAATGAAAGAAGATTACTGGCAATAGGAAGTTCATGAGCACAGAAGACTAAAATTTCACAGAAGCCAGACCAAGGTTATTCAGTTCACTGAATAAAGTAACCAAAACATTCTGGGCTAAGAGCTAACTCTGCTGCTTCCTTTGGCTTCACCCACACCCACCCACATGTGCTCACATACACTGATCAGCATATTTCTCTTTCAGTCTGGAAAGGAAGGAAGACACAGGATAATGTTAATATTATTTGGCTGTTGAAAAAATTGGGAGAGGCTCTTGGGTAGGGATTAAATAACCTATCTAAGTAACTAGAATTGCTTGTACTTCAGGTATCCTAAGAAAAACTGAGCGAGCAAAAAGTTCGAACTTTATATAAACAGAGCATGCTTCTGGGTTGTACTCTTACGGGAAAGGGGAGCAGAAATCTCTCTTCCTTTTCCACCCTCATTTCCCTTGCTTCACCACATGAACACAAAAATGTCCTGACCTGACTTATTCTTTGGGATCAGATGAGATTTACCCGCCTTATTTCCTGTACAGACATGTAGAGAGATAAGAAAGCAGCTGTGGTTGCACTCTTCTTATCCATCTGGTAAATAAAAAAATAACAGTAATGCCTCTTTTTTTTTCAGCACAAGCTTTGATAGCATCTTAGATCCTAAATCTGCCTCCCCTTTTA